AATTCTATTTAATTTAACTAAAACACCTCAAACAATAATAAATAAAATGATTTTCTTTATTTTCCCAACGAGCGAAGGATGGTTAAAGAAGTTACTTCCGAGGCCAAATGTTAGCATATCATTAGCTAAGCCCATTAGCTTGTGGTGTTGCAGGTTATGATAGAAAAATTCAGATTCAGAATTCAGATTCGATTCAGAATTCTGAATCTGAATTTTTCAGAAAAAAGCCTCGTTCAGGCTAAAATTACTTGCTGACGTTGACTTGCTTTTGTTCGACCTCTGTCTGTATTTGAGGAACCAGGTTGCACATTAGACCTCTGCAACAACCTGAACCTGACTCTGGGTTTGGGACATTCTGTTTATGTAAAGCTCGGGTCTCCGTTTGGGTATTTTCTAATTTATAAAGTAATTTCTTTCTTTATGACTTTGCCAGTTTGTCTGTCTCCTTCCATCTCATCATGTGCTGCAAGTACCGAACTCCCCCTCGGGACAGCTAGCCTGTGGACCCAATGCACTGCGTTAGCCTTGTAAGCTAACGGTCCACAACTGATTAAATATATAAACAGGTACTAGCTTTCCAGTTGGGTCTCAAATTTGGCAGCGCCAAAGTGGTCGGTTTGAGTCCCAGTTTCAGCGTGTTTGCAATGCATTTTGGGTATTGTAGACTGTGAGTCTGTCAGTACTTTTCAATCTTCTAATTCAGTGGAGTATTCCTTTATTATGTGTCATATAATGGTGGCAGGTGTGTGTGAATGTTTTTTTATTTCGGGGCCAAAAACACAATCCAGTTCGGGGCCAGGAGGAGCCTGGTATAAATAAAGTTTCCATCAGTCAGTCTCATTTTGTTCCTCTGGGCTTCGGTGTTCAGACAGACGGAGGAGGAGGCGCCTGTCCTCCGTCCTGCCTCCTCTGCTGTTTCCACGTCTCTTCAGCGAGTCCGCCGCCGCCATTCGCCCTACATGATGCTGCACTTCCCCTTCAGCTTGTCGGCTCGTTTCTGTTTCCCCGAGCGTTTGCCGTCGATGCTCAGGCTCATGTCCCTCTTCTTCTCCAGGGCCAGCAGCTCCTGGAACAGTTCCTTCACGTTGGAGTTCGTCTTGGCCGATGTCTCCATGAAGGAAGGCAACACTTCCAGGCGGTCGCCTGAGCCTCGGGCCTCCTTCGTGTCCACCTCGCCGCTGGGCCGTCTCATCGCTTTTGTTGCCCAACAAGCATGATGGGAATGGCCCTCCACGGTGCCTTTGATGGCCAGAACCTGGAGAGACACGGGATCAAGTCAGTCAGGACTTTCTCTATGTATCTGGAGGTTAGAAAATTAATTTCAAGTTCTAGGAGATTCATTCATGAATTTAGAGCTTTCAAACGTTATACTTTATAAAGAGCCGGACCGCCTATTGTGACGGGGATGTACCAACCCTGACCTATAACATGATTGAAGGATATAAAAGGGAAAGAATGTGAAAGGAGTTAACAAAAAATAAAACTCAAGCTTTATTTCAATTTTCTAAACTTTATTTTAAAGTGGCAGATGGTTTTAGCCCTTTTTATTTTTATGTGTATTACTTTCACCACAAAATTCACTCCTGATGTATTTTGGGCTCAAGTTGGATAATGATAGCTTAGAAAGGTTAGCTAACAGTTATTCAGTTTGGAACTAGCTTTGGTCCTGTGAATATCTGAATTGAGAAATCAGCTGCTTAGATTGCGAATATCGTTGGTTTTAAGAAAGTTGATGGCGAATCGAGAAATTGCTCAAACATTGTAGCTTGAGTTGAGTTAGTACTCGACTGCTATCAGCTAAATATGATGGATTAAGTTTATAAGTACAGTATAAGTATGGAAAAATTATTATTAGTTATTACATTAATTATTTTAAATATAAACCAATGAAAAGACATGTGACCTGTTGGTAAAATGGGTTTGAGCCTCCTCCAGCGACTGGCGGCTGGTGATGGAGTACACTAGGATGAAGGCGTGGCCCTTTGAGATGGAAAGGCGCTGCATGGCGGGAAACTGGTGACTTCCTGTTGTGTCTGTGATCTGCAGCGTGCAGACGCTCTTATCACAGCTGATCACCTGCAGAGGACATCAGGGCAGCGATCAATAATTCTAACATATTAGCAGATCAGGAGTTTAAATGACGACACAAACTGTCCTACCTGTCTGTACGTGTCCTCTACGGTGGGGATGTAGGTTCTCTAAAGGTGCCTTTCACAAACCGAAGGACCAGCGAGCTCTTCCCCACCCCGCGCCGCCGAACACTACCACCCGGTAGTCGTTACTCTGCTCGGGCATTCTGGGAGTTGGAGTCTGCCCTGCTGCTCTGGATGGCTGACCTGTACGCTGAGGAAGAGAC